AATTAACATACTAAAAGTTGAGAATTTTATAACAAGTGAGTTACGCTCAGTGACTGGAAAACAGAAGCATGTACAGTTTTGGGAAAACCGTAACAGTGATATTTAAGCTAAGTGGACTTATGGGAACCCTTGGTAACTTATAATAATTAATTATATGGCTTGGATGAGTTGAAAATAATCTAAGTTACCTATGTGAGCGTAGAACAGGATTCTAAGTTATGTAAGTAATTAAAGAATGTGGTGGCTTAAAATAATGCACAAAAATAAATAATAAGTAATAATTGGTCTAGACTTGTGATGGACATATTATCGGCATGTAAGAATATAATGTGGAATCATTAAGTGATTGAGTATTAATAATGTAAATGATTCCTGCTCTAGGTTTGGCTAGAGAGTTTGGCACTTGAGAGTGTTCGGGAGCATACGTATTGACTGTTGGAGTTGAGCTGTTGATAAGCTCAGTGATGTAAGCTCCTAGTTCTAGTTGATTCCTCTCTCTTGTGGCCCCACCATGATGGTGGGCATTATGATTGTATCGTATTAAAGTATATGGTATGATGTATATGTGCATTCATTCACATTCATATAGATGTTATATAATCTTGATGTTATGATGATGCACTGATGATATATGTTATGAGGATCCTGGCCAGTGATCCTAGTATGTAGGCTGCCTATGACTTGACTCTAGAAGCTATTTCATACTGAGGTTGTGTTGACTGTCTATGGCTTAACCTTGGAAGTCACACAGGTGTAACCGTCTATGGCTTTGACCCTGGGGTTACACAAGGATGATATGATGATGCTATGTTTATGTTGTATGTCTGTATTATATGCTTTATATCTGACTTGTCATGCAGGAAGTAGGCTCAGGGGTTAGAGGATCCTCTATGAACCTTGAGCTTACTAAGATGTTATCTCACCTCGTTTGGGGACATCATTTCAGGTACCCAGAGTAGTGGTGATGCTTCTAGGGGCAAGGCCCCCGCATTGGAGTAGTTGATGATGCAGCTGATTATTTTAGACTATGTTTAGACTTTATTATGGCATGTGGATTTGTTAACATGCTCAATTATATATGGAGATTATGTTATGTATTTATTAGGCTCATGATTGTATCCTTAGAGCCATGGATTAATTACTGATGTTTTTATATTTTTAAATTAATATAGACTTGATGTATGCATTCAACTAATTGGGGCATGGGAGTTTTTGTTTGTATTGACCCATTGAGGGGATTGCAGTCCGTGTGGGACTTGCAAGCTATCTGTTTAAATTATTGTATCAATTAGGTTATCTGTTTGTGTGGGACCATGTTCTCAGTATCCGAAATAAAGCTGTTATGTTGTCCGTAAGATTCCGTCAGGAATGACAGTTGATGTCATATCTTGATGGTCAATGGCCACTAATAATGGCTCATTGGATTAATTAGTAGATGTATGTTTAGATTTATGCTTTCGCAGTATCTAACGTGAACGTTTTTAGAAATGTTTTAAATAAAAAGTTTTGGAAAAAGTTTACTCGTATTTTTTTAAAACGTGTTAGTATTCTTTTAAAATAAAGCCTTCCGCTGTGTATGCCAAATATCATGTATGTTAACAACTGGAGTACTACGAGGTGTTACACACCACGTGCGAAGGGTCTGCTATATACCTCTGAAGCTAAGACACGTGAAACATGTCGTGGATGTTGGCCAAGTTCGGAGGCAAGGCAAGCTGGTAGGCAACATACCCTACTCTACCAAGAATCTGGTATGGCCCTATGAATATTGGGCTAAGCTTCCTCACTTTAAGGACCCGACCAACACCGGTGACAGGTGAAAGTCTCACGAACACGTGTTTTGTAAGAACTCGCACCGTTAATTTAGGAATTTAATTAATTAATTATGAGTTAATGAGATAATTCCTTAATTGACCCTAATAATTATGAGAAGACTTAAATAATTATGGTAAGTGATTAATAATGTTGAAAGTCGCTTTTCTGACGAAAAGTACAGATACCGGTTCTGCCTCACGGTACAAATGCGTACCGATGAAGTATCCCAGAAAATTATGAAAAGTGTGTGTATATATTACTAGAATAATATACAGGACTAGTATAACAAGTTTGGAGTCAAAATAATGAGAATTTGTGTCAGAACTGATACCGGCTACGTAAAAGCGCGTACCGACAAAGTGCTGCCAAAAATAAAATAAAAATATGACAAATCTTAGAAAAATGGCTAGGTTTAGAATCTTAAGTTTGGGATTAAAACTATAAGCGTAGCTAGTAGTGCTAATACAGTGCGATTAAAACTTAAGTGGACTATATAAGGGCTTGACACATGATCCGAGGTCATATTTGGTGCCTCCTATGTGACTCATTTCTGAAGCACCTTGCTCTTCATCAGCCACCACCTTCCTCCCTCCACCTTGTGAGCCAAGAAACCACCTTTCCTCTTGGTTCCTTCACTAAACCTCCTTGTGTGTGTGAGATAAAGCATTTGGGGTGGGTATGAGACCTTGTTTCTGAGTTTGGATCTCTATTTTGAGGAGTCTAGGGGCTGAGTTCTTGAACCTTGTTGAGGGAGCCCTTGTCATGGCATCTTGAGCTTCAAGAATCCAATTTTGGTGAGAAAGGACCTTGCTTTATCACTAATTTAGTTTGAAGTTAGATTGTGGGAGCTGCATTGTGTGCTCTAAGAGCATCTTTGTTTCTGTTCCAAGCCTTTGGGTAAGCTTCACCACCTTTGATCATGAGTCTTATTGGTTAAAAATGGAGTCTTGACATGTTTAATAGTTGTTTAAGTAGCTAACATGATCACTGGTCTAAAGGGGCTTAATTATACATGTTTTAACGTATTTAAGTGTTAAAAATGGAACCTTGGTTGGATATCTTCGTGAAAATGCAGAACTGCATTCTGTCGCGAAATATTCGGATATAATATCCGGATATGGGGTTGTAAATATTCGGATATGGATATCCGGATATGACCCCGACAAATATTCGGATATTCTGAGAATTTCGAGACAGTGACTATTCTTTTCATACAGAACTGTGTTTGGGGTTTATGGACCCTAGATTGGTTGAGTTGAATCTCTGTAATAACTAACTAAGTCAGAATCAAAGGGATTAAGGGCTTATGGCTTTGAGAGAAGCCTAATGGCATGAAACGTAAAAGGAAAATGTTGTCTTTATGTCATACACTTTTAGATTGTGAATGTTGATATGATTGTTGGTATAAACAGACTGTGAAAGTGCTATTTGTGGACCTTGGACTTGGTTGGACTCTTGAGTTGGATAGTTAGCTTGCGAGGTAAGCTTTCGTGTTCTCGGTTTAGCCATTGTTGGTTCCACCATACCCCATGGGGGGATGGTTTATATGCATGATGTGTTTTCATGTATTGCTTTTTGAAATGTTGTTGAGATGTTTAGTGCAAGTGTTTTATGATATGCATGTGTTGTTCCACCTAGACAGTAAGCCTGAGTATGTGGCGTCATACAAGATGGTGATTCTGTGGGTGGAGTGCAAGTGGCGTCTTGCACTGTATGTAGGTTATAGACGTTTGTAATTCCTGCATTTTCTCTGGCTAGTAGGATATTCGACACATATGACATGATTATTTGCTGCATTGCACTGATTTTGGAACTTATACTGTTTTACTGCTTTTAGAACTTATATTGCACATGTAAGTGAGCTTGGGGTGGAGAGATCCTTGAGGACCCTTGCCTTACTGAGATTTCTGTTTAGAGCTCTCACCCACGTTTGGGGCATATTTTCAGGTTCAGGTAACTCGGGGGTTTATACCTCGGGCGGTAGGAGGCCGGAGTTGAGTTAAGATTTATGCTTTTATGATGATATGCTTGGATGCTAACATGTTCTATATTTATTATCATGTTATTGGATTTGAGACTTTGTTGGGCTTTGTTGCCTTATTTGATGAGCATAGGGGATGTCCATGCCATATTGATTTGACTATGTCGATTTAGATTCGAGTTGTATAATGTATCAGGATTATGGTCCGGACTACGTGTTGTAGTTCCGTGATTAGATACTCACTTATTTATACTATGAGGTTATTCAGTGTAGTTAGCTGTTTGTTTGCAATTACATACAGGCAATGTTTTGGAAAAGGATTAATTAATGAACTTGATTAATAATAATTACGTCATAATTGAAAAGAAAAAGTTATTTCTGCATTTTAATTAAGCAGCGCTTAATACGATGATATGATAACAAATTGGGTATATACGGGGTGTTACATGTTCACCATCATTGAACTTTAGTGGCTGATGCTTGTTATCGTTGTAACTCTTCTGGCGATTTTGAGCCTGCTTCAGCTTCTCTCTGATCATCTGGATCTGCTGGGTAGTCTCTTGGACGAAGTCTATTCCAAACAACTCCTATCTTCAACCTCAGACCAACAGGTAGGAGTTTGACACCTCCTACCATACAACGCATCGTAGGGTGCCATGCCCAGGCTAGCATGAAAACTGTTGTTATACGAGAACTCAATCAAAGGTAGGTATCGATCCCATGCTGAGCCCTGCTCCAAAGTGCAAGCCCTCAACATGTCTTCCAATGTCTGGATGGTCCGCTTAGTCTGAGGGTGATAGGTTGTACTCAATCTCAACTGAGTACCAAACGCTCCCTGCAGCGCCTCCCAGAACCGAGACGTGAACTTCGGGTCCCTATCACTAATGATACTATCGGGCATCCCGTGAAGCCTCACGATCTCGCGAATATAAAGCTTGGCCAACTGCTCTGTAGTGAAGCTAACCCTTACCAGAAGAAAATGGGCAGACTTAGTCAATCTGTCCACAATGACTCAAATAGAGTCACATCCAGCCCGAGTCTTAGGCAATCCCACTACGAAGTCCATAGAAATGCTCTCTCATTTCCACTGTAGTATCTCAAGAGGTTAAAGCTTAGTAGACGGTTTCTGGTGTTCAATCTTCAATTTCTGACAAATCAAACACTTGGATACATAGACCGGTATGTTCTTCTTCATGTCCGGCCACTAGAAATTTCTCTTCAGGTCTTGATAAATCTTTGTAGCTCCAGGGTGGACAGTGAATTGACCCTTATGAGCCTCTGTCATCACCTCCTCAGTCAATGGACCACTAGGAATTACAATCCTCTTTTGGAACATCAATAATTCATCCTCATTCCAAGATACACCATATTGGTTTTTCACATAATCAAGGCACTTTCTTTGCACCTGTGCCTCTTTGATCTTCTCCATCAGCTCATTTTCAACTCTAACAGTTTCCATCTTGAGAAGTGAACCTGCAAACAAAGAGGTCACTGTCAAATCTCAAAACTTCTCAATCACATCAAAGTCACCCATCATTAAACTGGATAGGCTCACGGATTTCCAACTCAAAGCATCCACTACCACATTGGCCTTGCCAGGATGGTACTTCAACTCAAAGTCGTAGTCCTTCAGGAATTCCATCCATCTTCTTTGTCTCATGTTCAGCTCCTTCTGGTCAAACAGGTACTTTAAACTCTTTTGGTCACTGAATACGGCAAACTTCATGCCATAAAGATAATGCCTCCAAATTTTAAAGGCAAAAACAACCGCAGCCAACTCCAAATCATGAGTCAGGTAGTTCTCCTCATGAGGCTTCAACTGCCTCGAAGCATAAGCAATCACTCTACCAGTCTACATCAACACATAGCCCAACCCCTTCCCAGAGGCATCACAGTACAACTCAATATGCTCAGTAGGATCAGGAAAGACCAACACTGGTGCAGTTGTCAGTCTCTCCTTCAACTCCTGGAAGCATTCCTCACAATTGTGAGTGCACACAAATGGAGTCTCCTTATGGGTAAGACGAGTCAATGGTAGAACCATCTTGGAGAATCCCTCAATGAACCTCCTATAGTAACCTGCCAAACCCAAGAAGCTCTTCACTTCTGTAATGGTCTTGGGTCTCCCAATCCAACACTGCCTCAATCTTGTTGGGATCTACTGCAACTCCTTCTGCAAAAATCATATGCCCAAGGAATTTCACCGACTTGAGCCGAAACTCACATTTTGAAGGCTTAGCATAAAGATTTTTCTCCTTCAGCACCTACAACACAATCCTCAAGTGCTTCGCATGCTCCTCCTCACTCTTGGAGTAAATCAAAATATTGTCAATGAAGACGATCACAAAGTGGTCCAAGTACGCTGAAAAATACGGTTCATGTAATCCATGAATACCGTTGGTGCATTGGTGAGTCCAAACGGGATCACCAGATACTCATAGTGACCGTATCTCGAACGAAACGCGGTCTTAGGGACATCCTTCGGCTTAACCCGAATCTGATGGTATCCGGACCGAAGATCAATCTTCGAGTACACGCAAGCACCTCTAAGTTGATCCAATAGATCGTCAATACGAGGGAGGGGATACTTGTTCTTGATTGTCACCTTGTTCAGCTGTCTATAGTCGGTACACAATTGCATTGTCCCATCTTTCTTCTTAACAAAAATGATCGATGCTCCCCATGGAGACATACTCCATCGAATGAAGTTCTTCGCGGAAAGCTCCTCAATATTCTTTTTCAACTCTGCTAACTCAGGTGGAGACATCTGATATGGAGCTAATGAAATAGGCCCCACACCAGGCAACAGATCAATGGAGAACTCTATCTCCCGCTGCGGTGAAAACTCAGGAATCTCCTCAGGAAATACCTCGAGGAATTCCCTCACCATAGGAATGCCGGTAATATCCTCTTGTGTCCCACTCACCAAACCTCCTGATAAGACATAACTAAATGCCCCTGCTCTCAAGGCTCTCCTAGCCTGCAGCACTGATATATAAAGAGAAGAACTGGCAGTGGAATCACACGGAGAAATCACCATTTTCTTAGCATAACAATCAATCATCACACAATTCTTGGAAAACCAGTCCATGCCTAGGATGATCTTCAAATTAACCATCGGCAATCCAATCAGATCTACTGAGTACTCACGACCATCCCACTGAAACACGACATCTCGAAGTACAGAAAAAGTACTCACAGCCTTGCTCACCACACATACATCCTCAATATCATGACACTGCTGAACTAATGTTCCAAAGTCTCGGGATGCCGCTCCTGTTATCCTGTCTTCTATATCCTCATTAAGTCCCCTACAGAACTTAGAAGCCAAAAATGCCGGTGTGGGCATAAAAATCCTGAAGTGTGCAAATTTTGCCAGTTCATTGAACTTAGCCAAGTACTCATCAACCGTCATCGAGCCCTGTACCAACCGCTTGAACTCCCCCTGTTTTCTCTCCTGCGCATCATAGGGAAAATACCTCCCAAGAAATTGCTCCTCAAAGAATGGCCACGTGATCACATGACCCTGCATCTCATAAACCTGAGAGGTGTTCATCCACCACTCGTGAGCGTCTCCCTCCAGCATATAAGTGGCAAACATCAGCTTCTGGGGACCAGTACATTGCATCACCCTGAATATCTTGTCCAGGGCCTGAAGCCATCTAGCAGCAACTATTGGATCATAGGATCCATCAAAGGAAGGTGACTTATGCTTACGGAAAGCATCCAGCCGACGATCTCGCGTCTCCTGGTCCTCCGCAGGCTCAAAGTAAGGCCGCATCAATCCCGTGAGGTGACTCACACCCTCCATGCGACTCTGAGTATCATCCTCATGAAAGTACGCCCCACCTCCTCCATGCCCATCCTGGTGACCGGGTGGAGGCGGCGGTGGTGGTGGTGGCGGTGGAGGTGGAGGTGGTGGCAGAGGATGCTGGCCACCAACATGACCAGTCCTCATCTCCTCCAACATGACCCTCATCATGGTCATGTTCGCCAGCCGGTTCGCCTCGAGCACATCCTCTATAGCTTTCCGGTTTGCCTCTCTAACGACGTCCAACATCGCCTGATTGGTCACTCTGATGGCCTCCTGGTCGAATTGTCTAGCCGCCTACATCTTAGCCAATGCAGTCAGGACTGGGTCAAGCTGACCCTCTCTCGTCTCTCGAGTCCTTCTCGGCAGTACCATAACTCTGCACATGTTACTCAAAGGATGAGTTGATCAGGCCCACACAATGTGGTCACGCATGCATTATTATAGCAAAACCTATAAGAGAAACTCACAAGACAATTAACACACAGCAAAGCATCCTAAGTTATTGCAATACATACAGGCTTTTCCCCTAAAAAGTGCTCTGATACCATAAAATGTAACATCCTGTGTGCACCCGGTGTATTAAACATACATATGGTAATGGCGCAGCTATTTAAATACGGAAGCTAACTTTCTCTTTCCAATTATGATGTCATCATTATTAACCAAGTTGATTACTTATTCCTTTTTTAAAGTATAGCATGTATGTAAATTGCAATAGATAACTAACTGAATAACCTCATAATATAAATGTGAATCTAGTCACAGAACTACAACACGTAGACCGGACAATATCCTGATACATTATATAACTCAAGACTAAATAAACATAATATAGTTAATGTGGCATGGACAACCCCCATGCTCACCAAATCAGGCAACAAGCCAAACAAAGTCTTAAATCAACTAATCATATACTGAAAATAAAACATGACCAACATCCAGGCATATCAGTAAGACAGCATGCATATCAACTCAACTCCGGCCTCCTGCCGCTAGAGGTATCAACCCCTGAGGTACCTGTACCGGAAAATGTGCCCCAACACGGGGTGAGATCTCTAAAAAGAAATCTCAGTAAGACAAGGGGTCCTCAAGGATCTCTCCACCCCAAGCTCACTTACATGTGCAATATAAGTTCCAAAATAGTATAATAATGTCATTTCCAAAATCTGTGAAATGCAGCACATATCCATTTCATGTGTAAGAATCCTAGTGGCCAGAGAATAAAATGTAGGGATTACATATGTCTACAACCTACAGTACAAGGAACACCGCTTGTACCTCACGCACGGAGTTGCCATCTTGTATGTCTCCACATACTCAGGATTATCGTCTAGGTGGTACACCACATACATATCATATGGCACTTGCACTCAATAAACAACTCAATAGCATTTCAGTAATCATCACATAATTTCATAAAAACACATCATGCATATAAATCATCCCTCTATGAGGTATAGTGGAACCAACAATGGGCAAAATCGAGGACACGAAAGCTTACCTCTCAAGCTATCAATCCCAACGAGAGTCCACACCAGCCCAAAGTCACCAGACAGCACACTCACAGTCTGTTTATACCAGAAACATCATCAATATTCATACTCTAAAGGTTCATTTCATTATGACAACATTTTCTTTTTCGTTTAGTGCTCTAAGGCTTCTCCCAAAGCCATAAGCCCTTAATCTATGTGATTCTGACTTAATTAACTTATTACAGAGGTTCACATTAACCAATCATGGGTCCAGAAACCCAATCAACACTTCTGTTTGGACAGAACATTGCACAACTCAAAATTCTCAAAATATTCAGATATTTGTCGAGGGCATATCCGGATATCCATATCAGGATATCATATCCGGATATCCATATCCAGATATCACCAACCCCATATCCGAATATCAATATCTAGATATCATATCCGGATATTTCGCGACAGAATGCAGTTTCTGCATTTCGCGAAGATATCCTTACAAGACTCAATTTCTAACACATTAGAATGTCCAAGCATGCATTTTTGTACATATTTGAGTCAATGTTCATGTTGGCTACTTAATCCTATCATTTTTCATGTCAAGACTTTATCTTTAACAAGGAAACTCATGATCAAAGGTGAGGAATGTACCCCAAAGGTTCAAAACAGAAACCAAATGTGCTCTTGGAGCCCTCAAGTCAGTCCCAAGGTTCTGACTTTCCAAGGCCATGAAAATGGCTCACAAGAATGGTTCTTTGCTACACAAAATGGCTTCTTGCACATCAAATGCCAAGAAAATACTCTCACACACTTCCACAAGGATGAACAGCCACAAACCTCCCCAACCAGAAGCTCCTACTCAGCAAGAAGGTGCCTTTCTTCCTCACAATGCACACTCTCAAGTGCTCACAACATTTAGGAAGAAGAATCAAAGAGAAAAGTGGGTTTTTGGTTGAGTTTCATGAAGGGAAGAGGGTGGCAAGGTGGAGAGCACAACACTTTAGAATGGAGGCACGTAGGAATTGTATATTTCTGACCTAGAAATCTGTGCATTCTTATTTATATGCGCATTAAGTTTAATCCCACTGTATTAGCACTAATAGCTCCGCTAATCATTTTAATCTCAAACTTCAGATTCTGAACCTAGCCATTTTTCTAGGATTTATCATATTTTTATTATAATTTTTGTAGCACTTTGTTTGTACGCATTTTTACGTAGCCGGTATCAGTCCCGACGTCAGTTCTCATTATTTTGACTCCAAACTTAATATTCCAGTCCTAGGTATTATTCTAGGAATATATAGATATTTATTATAATTTTTTGGGATACTTCACCGGTGCGCATTTATACCGAGAAGCAGAACCGATATTTGCACTTTTCGTCAGAAAAGCAACTTTCAGCGTTATTAAGACCTTATTATAATTATTCAAGTCCTCTCATAATTATTCGAGTTCAATTTATGGAATTATTTCCTAAACTCATAATTAATTATTTAAATTCATAATTTAACGGTGGGGGTTCTTACATATCACATCAATGGAGTTTGTGGAAGCTTTCTTGTGTTCTTGATTTCACTAGGTTAGGCTAGATTTTCTTTGTAGTTAGGACTAGATAGAACCCAATTGAATCTTTATGTTTATGAATTAATCTTTAATATAATTTTCCCTTTTTATATTGAATGAATGTGTCTTTACTGAATGCCTTCTATAAGTTGTTGTTGTAGATTGAATTACGATTCGTATGTGACAATAGGGATGTTGGTAATGAATTTGGTTTGATTCATTCATCATTAATTTGTATGACTCTAGGAATAGACATATGAATTGTGCCATTTTTATGATTCTTGATATTAATGCTTAAATTCTTTTGAGAAACACCAAGGAGTTAGGATTCTCTTAAAGGAGTAAAGGGTTAGAATGCCAAGGGACTGAGTTTTAACTAATTTAGGAAAATTGATGGAAAATATAAAAAGATCGATTAATTAAGATTTTAATTCAAAATATAAAGGAAAAATTGGGGGAAGTCAAATCCCTAACTGTGTTTCTTAATTGACAAGTATTCTTGCTTTATTATTTAATTTGATTTTTATACAATATCTGTGATTAAATGTCATTCAATTTTCTTGATTGGTTGTCCAACTTAAGCATAACTAGCAAATTAGTGATTGAAATTCTAATCATCGTGGGAACAATCTCATACTCAATACACTTTATTACTTTTACAATCAGTCTACTTGCCGAAGTGGCAATAGAAACCTTACTTTTGGAGGTAAGATAAGATGAAATGGATTGCTAAGAATGACAGTTTCATGATCTTCAATCAATGGCCCATAGCATTTTGCATAACTTCTTTTTTCTTTCTTTTAAGGTTTGGGAGAAGAGAATATGAATTGATACCAAACATTTTAAGTCAATATATTCGAGTGACGTCACAAAAAAATTATCTTATTTTCATCTTTCACCTAAGAAAAAAAAAATACATAAAGAACCATTCAAATGGCCTATAGCTAATTAGCTAGCTGAAACTTTTAGAATTGAATGACCAAGTAAACCCTCCATTTTCCTTGATGTGGCCTACTATGATTCCTCACTACAATGGCCAACCAGAGTCGTCAATAGAAAGCCATTAAGAGTAACTTTAGGTCTAGTGGCTGTGAATCACCAAAAAGACCTTTCAAAAGACACATAAATATAGCTAACAAAAGTGCAACCTGAGAGAGACAAGAAGAGAAAGATAGTGAAGAAAAAAGGACTACAAAAGAAAAGATAGATAGAGAAATAACAATGGCTATTAGTTTTGAGTGACGGTAGCACATTGGCTGGTGGTGGAGGGAATTGAAATTAGAACGCGTGGTGATGTTGATGGTAATGGGAATGGTGGTGAATACTTGTGAAATCTGTGATGAGGATCAAAAGGGAGTGGGTGACAGACCCACGTGACTGACCCACCACCACCACCTTTGTGCTTGGCCCAGTGGATGTCTCGGTTGGCTTCATATCAACGCTAACAGCCAAATAAACTCAACCAAACAATAAAAATCAGGTCTTTTGGTTCGTTCAAAATCCAAATATTTTATTAAGAATATATACATTTAACTCAAATATGAAATTATGCAAAATATAGCCCATGTTTGTTATGTATTGTACGTTGCGAGTCGCGCATTATCTTATACGCGAATTGTATGTATACATTTTTTATGTACAATAGTGATAGACGTGTGTTATTTTTGCTCAAATCATACATAACCTAACGTGCAACTTCAACGTGCACATTATCATACACGTCTAACTAATTTTTTATAAGATACTTAATTTTTAAATTAAGACTGAAAAATATTTTCCTTCTCATGTTATTATAGTAAAAAAGCCCTAAAAATCAACATACACTATTGTTCAATGTTATTAAAACTGGTCCGGTTATTAACCCGGTCGAGGTATTGGATCACTGGGTCACTGGTTCAACCAGTGGGTCATTGGTTCAATTGCATGACCGGTAATTATATGCAATTTTATAATTTATATTAAAAAATTATAAACATACTCAAATATCTAAAAAAAATGATAAAAATTTCAAATATTTTAATATAAAAAATAATAAATCACATATTATTATCCAATTAAAGATCAAACAAAAATATAATGATCGTGGTACAGGACTTTAAGTTCAGAAAACGACATCTTTAACTAAATCAAATCAAAATTTTCTGCATAATGCTTAATTGAGATAATATTAGTGTTGTAGGTACATAACTTATGTAAGTCAATAAGCAAAAAAATATTCAAATATGTCTATTATGAATTTTTTTTTTGGGATCGTAGGTCACCGGTTAATCGACCGGGTCACCGATTTTCATGAAAACCGGCCAGGTCACACCGGTTCTGATGCATAACCGATCCGTTACTTCAACAAAACCGATTATATGACTGGTTCCCGGATCGACTCGGCCGGGTTCGTCCGGGTTTCTTAACAGTGCTATTGCTCACAATCACAGAACACCACCTCTCTCTTTCTCTCTTCCACAAAAGCAATGAAAAAGAAAGAAAAAAAAAGTTAAGGGATTGACATCATTAATTTATTTGACAAAAGGGAACCATTTTTTTGCCCTTTCCACCACTTTTGCTAGCCATTCTTTTAATATTTTTATTTTTCTTTCTCACTAACTTTCTAATGCTAGTGGTTGTCTTTCTCTTGTTACCCTTTCTTATTCCTAGACTCACGTGAACTTTGGAAACATGTTAGCAGCTAAACACAAAGGGTTAAAAAAATTTGTAGTACATGGAGGATGAGAGATGGAGGACAAAGAAGAGAACCAAGATCATAACCACTCATCTCTCCTCCCTAATCGCAACCCCATCACAACCAAAGAAGAGTCTCTAAAAAAACCCATTGGTGGTGGCAGTGGCAGTGGCAGTGATAGGCTAAAGAGAGATGAGTGGAGTGAAGGAGCCGTTTCTACCCTTCTTGAGGCCTATGAAGCCAAATGGGTACTCAGAAACAGAGCCAAACTCAAAGGTCATGACTGGGAAGATGTTGCAAGATATGTCTCATCAAGAGCAAACTCTACCAAATCACCAAAGACACAGACACAGTGCAAGAACAAGATTGAGTCTATGAAGAAAAGGTATAGATCAGAGTCTGCTACAGCAGATGCATCATCTTGGCCTTTATACTCTCGTCTTGATCTTCTTCTGCGTGGAACTGGACCTATATCAACACTACCACCATCAACACCAATAGCACCAGCAACAACACATGCACCTTCTCAATCACCACACCGTTTGTTGTTAGAACCGTCGCTGGCAGTGTCACAATCTCCTCATCAGCCACCTCCTCCTGTTGCTCCTCAACCACTTGCAACTGCACAAAACTCACATGGATCCAATGGTGTTGATAGAGTAGCCAAGGTAGACTAATTAAATGAACAATTTTTTTTTTTTTTAAATTTTGGTTTATTTTAGTTTAATTTGATTTTGTTGCATTTTATATATATGGTCATGATTTCTCCATTTCTAAAGTTTTTATTTTAACCTATGTGAGGTTGGTATTTGTAGTTTAAAACTTTCTGTTAAGTTTTTGAGTGTTTTATGTGAGTGTAAAACTTTATGCATATTTAGGACTAGAGAAAATCATTTTTTTTCCTTCATTAAATGTGTGATTATTGCATCAAGCATGTGTCATGAGAATGTATCCTCTTGTCAAGGCCCTACCTATTTAATGCTTATAAGGAATGAGATAAATACAAAATTTAAATTCACCTCCCTCTGTCATATATGAGAGAAAATAAATTTTGAATTTTACATGTTACTCGAAGAGAAAATATGATATCTAAATATTTATTTTTATCAATCGTTTGGTACTATTCCTATCTAATTTCTTTTCTACACAAGTGAGACAACAATTTGCAGAAAGCAAGTGAAACTCATCTCTTTTAAGGAAAGTTCCTACAGTTCATAATTTATTGCATACATGAAATGAACACTGAAATAAAAGTCATATTCAAATAATTAAATTAATTATTTTTCTTACCTAACTCTAGTCTTCCATTATATTATATATGCATTATATGTAGAAATCATTGCAGTGGACAAAAATAGGTGTCTTAAATGTGTAGGAAATATATAATTACCTAACATTTTATTTTAACCATATACTATGCAAGCGAAATTGACATTAAATGAAGTGTTATTTCTAGTAACCCCAAAATAATATCATTTTAATGATAATTAAGAGAAAGATATTTTTATAATTCTAACTTATTTTAAAGTTATATTAGTCTTTGTTATTATAATTTTTTTTTTAATCTCAAAATAACTTTTAGGATTATTCGAGATAACTTTATTTCTGATGAATATTAAACCCTTAAAATAAGCACGTTTTCACTTTCTTCTTTGTTTCAAAATATATAATTGCATACAGAAATATATTGATGATTTTCATGAACAGGAAGATGGGTTAGGTACTAAGTCATTTGACCATGTATCTAACAAGAATCCATTGGATACGGATAGCAGTACACCTGCACTTTACAGTGAAAAGGACAAGCTAAGATGCAACAAGAGGAAGATGAAAACAGAGAACAACAAGCGTAGAAGGAAAGAGGATATGGAAATAGCAGAAAGCATAAGGTGGCTAGCAGAAGTGGTTGTAAGGTCAGAACAAACAAGAATGGACACAATGAAAGAGATAGAGAGGATGAGAGTTGAAGCTGATGCAAAGAGAGGGGAAATGGATCTTAAGAGAACTGAAATCATTGCCAATACACAACTAGAGATTGCTAGGATCTTTGCAAGTGTCAATAAAGGTGTTGATTCATCATTAAGAATTGGAAGGAGTTAAGGGTATTCTGGAAGCTGATTATCACAAGTTGTATGTATTTATAACGAATATAATATATACATTGAGGGAAAAGTTATATTGAAAAAGTTTTTTTGTTTACAAACTTACAAATTACATTATGTACGATGAGTAATACATTATGTGTTGGCATGTACTATTCATAGTACATAATATAGTTTGTAAGAGTTTATAAATTTTTTATTTGTCAATATAACTATTCCCCTGTATATTGAAGGAGAGGGAGATCTTATAACAACTTTGTAATTGGCCTACCTAACTAGTGAAGAGAAGCACCGTACGGTAGAGGCAATAATTATCTCTCCTAACTTAAATTGTAAACTTTTAATTGTAACCTTCTTTTTCGTTGACTAAGAAATGAAGGGATGCTTCTTCTATTGTTTGGGTAAGAGTAAAATCACCAAATGACCACCTATTTTGGAAGTGGGACTAATTCATGTTCGATCAGTGTTCTCCTCCTGGTTAGGGATGTGAATAGACTCATCTAGATAGGTCATATTTATGTAGAATATTTTAGCCTGGTCAATACTAAACTATAGATCTAGTTTGACCTATTTTTTAAATATAAAAGGCTAGCATGTCTAATTAGACCTTAGAGACTGTTGCGACTTCGGCAAGTGTATCAGTCGTACAAGTAATATCGTGTAAAAAAGTGGGGTTGTTGTTCCCACGAGGACTGATTAACCAAGGAGTAACTTATCTATGCGATTAAATTTGGATCGATCTTTAAATTGATTTGTTGTGAATATTAATTTAATTTATAAAACAAAATTTTTAAAGAACTTCTTTTTAATATTTAAGAAATCAAGAATTAAATTCAAGAATTAATAACGTGAAGAAAACGATTTTAACTTTAATTAATGATGAACGTAGCTAGGGACTTGACTTCCCCAATAATTTCTTAACGAGTTTAACTTTCATTGAATTAAAGTTCACAATCAATTATTGACAATTCTTTCTAATGTAACTAAATCCTCAATCCCTTGGTGCAGCGGCGGACCCACTTGCGGGCAAGTGCAGACATAAAAAATTTTATTTTTGTTTTTTTTTCTTTTTGGTTGTAGGTCCTTATTTGTCTCTTGGTTCAATATATATATATATATATATATATATATATATATATATATATTTAGGAGTAAATATTCTTTTAAGTCCCTAGCAAAAAACATGGTCCTCATTTTAATCTCTTACAAAAAAAAAATTAGTCTCGAGGTCCTTAAAAAATTTAAAGTGAATCAATTTAGTTAAAATTGTGGTCCCTCACAAATTTGAAAAAGACCTACATTAGTCCCTTAAAAAGACCAAAATTGGTCCACTTTGAATTTCATAGGGACCAGGTGACTAATTTTTTTAATAATGGACTAAAGTGGGGGACCAAATTTTTTGTTAGGGACGAAAAAACATATTTATTTTTATATTAATTAGTAACGTAGCAACGTACGGAGATAATTAAAACAACGTAGCAATGCAAATTGATTAGAGAGAAAACTTATTCTTTCTCCCCTGTCATGTACCCATTCTCATGCTCTCTTCATCCTTTGTTTCCTTTTACATTTTTGTAAAAAGAGAGGATTGATTGCAGGTCTGACATTCTCAAATAACTTAATATCTAGAGACGAAGCCTTTACTGTGATTTTGCTTGCCTTCTGCACAAGTAGTGTTGATTTTTTTATTCACCACTATAAAGTAGAATGATGATGTATGGATGTACTAGAGTATATTCTCAATTTGTTTTGGAGGATTGGTAAGATTTAGGGGAGAATAATTGGTCAAACTATTGCCTGCAGCTTGTTATGGAAGCAACTAGATTATGAGCGGGTTTAAGCGTTGATTTAAATTTTTTTTACAAAAAAAAAAAATTGGGGGCGCCGCCCCCCCACTAAATGTGCGGACATAAAAAATATTTGTTCTGGGTCCGCCACTGCCTTGGTGGTTTTAGTTCTTTACTTTATTTCAAGGCTCTAATTTCTTAGGGTCTTTTTTTAAAAGCAAGCTTTACGGTCAAGAATTATACGTTATAGAATTCGTAAGACTATTCCTAGAACATATAAATTCCAGCAATTAACCAATCGGATTCAAGCATACAATATTCCTATTTACATGCAAAAATCTACTGCTCATTCACGATTGATCAGATCATAACAAGACTATTAATTTGAAGAGATTAATTGCATAATTGAAATACGGATAGTAATTACATCAAAAATTAAACAGCGTTCGAGAACTCATTGGTTTCGTCTCGCCCTAATTACATAAAAAACTAGCCTAACATGTTCAAGAAAACAAGAACAATATATAAAAGAAAAAGAGACTTCATGACAAAACCAAATTAAAGATGACCCACGATGAAGCTTTGAGTTGTTCTTCTTCCTTCTCCTTTCTAAGAGCTCTCCTTTGCTTCCTCTCCAAGTCTCTGGCCGGGGGAATTCCCTCTAAAGCCCTAATTGCTTCTCTTTTAAAGAAATAAAATTGGGTTTTTAATTTGGACCAGGCTTGCTGAGGAACTTGTTGAAGCGAGCTGCTCAGCAGGCAAATTTTAACTCCTCGCTTGCATTTCTCTCTGTAGCGAGCTGCAGAGCGAGGGGACGCGAATAAGAGAAACGTCCTCTCTGGGCTTGCTCGCTCTAGCGAGGAAGCCAGCGAGCAAGAATTAATTCTGATTAATTGTTTATTTTTCTTGATCTTTATCATTTGCAATTGCCTTTATCCCTTAGTATTTGTAATTATTATTTTATACCTAAAACAAGATGAAAAAGAGATCATAATCATATCAAGTTTAAAAACTTTATAATCTTTTGCATTAATTGATTTATACTATATCTTTTATCATATTTATCTTTATTTAATATAATTTTGATACATAGTGTCTATGACACTCATTAGAGGCTTATCAAAAAAATTAGATGAGCCTAAAAAATTTATATAATAATTTTAATTTATTTTATATAAAAAAATAATATAAATCAATCTATAAATTAATATGTTAGACATTTTAAAAAGAGACTTGTGGCCTGTATTTTAAATATGTTTTTTTTAGCCTAAACATGCTTTATTCACTGAACAAGCTAGGCCAGGTCAAGCTATAGTTCTCTGATCAATAGTTTTATTTACACTCTTAATTAAGATTATAAGATTTTTGTTAGTAGGTGGGATTTGATTATTTATACTACGAGTTACTCCCGTAAAATTTATTGATTTAAGTTTTTTATACAATAAATTTATATTTGTGAAACTCCAAAACTTTGAGGGTAAACCCTCAATTTTCTCCAGATATTTTATTTAAAAAAGAAAAAAAAAGTTTTCTAAAGTAAAGAGAATCCAGAATTAAAATTAAAAATAGAGTAAATATCTTTTTTGGTCCTCAGCAAATTTCACGATGTCCGCTTTAGTCCCTATAGCAAATAAAAAAAAGGCTATTCGTGGTCTCTAAGAAATTCAAAATGGATCCATTTAGTTGAAATCGTGATCCCTCGCAAATTCAAAAAAGACCCACATTAATCCCTCAAAAGGACTAAAATGGGTCCATTTTAAATTTTTTAAGGACCACGAATAGTTTTTTTATTTGCTAGAGACTAAAGCGGGTATCGTAAAATTGGCTGAGTACCGAAAAATGTAGTTACTCTTCAAAAAATAAAGTTGTTGCATAACCCATTTCTTTAGATTAGATTCGACCAATGGGCCAACCCAAAACTTGATGCATTGCCCGCAACCCTACCAAAATCTTATAACCCATCCACCATAACCCACTTCCAATAGACACCGTAATTTGAGAGCACATCAGTTTGTTAGGATTTTAGTTGTATGTTTATTGTTTGATGAAATGTTCGAGTCAACGATGAATCTGGTTATTCATCCTATTATATTCTATTCGGTCTTAAATTCTGTTCCATTGCACCTCTCGTAGTACTGTTATCAATTAGAGGGTACATAATTATTTGATCAGCCATGTTATTATATTCTTTTTCTTTTTCTAATACATGTTTTTCATTTGGATTGTCTATGGAGCATGACCTGTTTGATGACAAGGTTAAGTCAAAAATAATTTTATAATATGTTGTTTACTAATTGAAAATTTATCTCTGAGCTTCGTGTTTTTTTTCTTCTCTTTTTAATGTAATGTTTAGTCCCTGCTATTATATTTTGAAAATTTCGTAGTACCTAAATAAATGTTAGCTTGTATGATTTGGTTTCCCCTGCCTTGTTTGGTTGACATTTTAGAATGCATGTGGGTATCTCTTGATACCTTGCACACATGAACTTCAATTTTTCAAGTAAATACTATGCATCTTGTAGTCTTTTGGTAAATACCATCGGATCCACCAAATCCAATTTTGGGTTTGAATCGAATTCATTACGCTTTGGGTAAGTCAAATTCTAGGATTTAGCTGAGACGTTATTGATATGGACTATTCTCCCACTGAATTATAGACCCAACTAGTAAAGGGCCCACAGACTATTGCTTAATAAGAAAGGAAACGTGGTCACCCTATGTAACTTGATCATCTGCAACCACCTAACGCATGAAACTCGCTGTCCAGTCAGTTGCGGCTACACAAAATCAGTTGATTAGAGCATTACTACTCCTTTTATAACCAACGACGAGGAACAGGCACCTATTTGCCAATATATTTAAACGGCTTAGTTAAACTATAGACATCCCACTCAGGAAATAACTTGTGAGTATTATCATTGTCAACTAATAGGAATGAATGCCATCATACCATGACAGCATAACCAGGATACTCATCTACTATATATATATGGAGGCATTAAGTCCAAATATGATTATCTTTCCATCGATACTTGAACACTTTGAATACATATTGTTTTGAGCGTTCCAGTGTCTTGCAAGTACCTTTCCCTATTCTTCTCAAGCTACTCTAAATATTAATTTTAGCCTAAACATCTCGTGAAGCATCTCAGGAATCTATCAGATATATCGCAAATAGAGTTCTAGCCCAAGCACATCCTCAGACATTGCAGATTCAACTGTGTGTGATCTAACCCGATTATTATTGGGCAAATCAATTACTAAACCAGCAACTCTTGAATATTGTGTATTCTTTTGTCCTCCCATCCTTGCAAGCAATATCAAGTTTGACATTGTTATAGACATTGTTGTTTCTCAATGAACTTGACACGGGTCTTATTATGTGCCTTAAACAGGGTCTGCCTCTATACCGTGCTTTATGACATTCTTTTGTCCTTCCATAATTTTACGTCATTTAAAAGGACAAACACTAATCCCTAAAATTATATAAGAAAACATAAATATTAAAACTACTTGAAGAATTTTATTTTATTTTTATCTAGGAAGAGTTTTGAGAAAATTCAATATCGTTAATAGATATTAATCAAGGGGAAGGATATACTTACCATCACAAAAGTTTATCACCCTTGCAACTAATTTAATCACTGCTGATTTCTGTTTATCCAACAGTTAAAATTTATTGAAAATTATTGGTCATTCTTATTAATTAATTATTATAAATTATAACTGTTAGATTGACGAAAATCAAAGTTAATTGGGTTGATTATAAGGTTGGTAAGTATATTCTGCTCATAAAAAATAAACAAATACCTACAAATAAGAATTTTTTTTTTTGGTGTGGAATAAGAATCTATTTGTATTAAAAAAAATTAGTTAAAAAATATATTTAAAAAAAAAGAATCTATTCGTATTAAAAAATAACAATCCATTTTTTTTCAAATATTTTAGTTAAAAAATATATTTAATTTTTTTTTTTATAATACTAATTGGATCTGACATCTGCGAAAGAATCTAATCTATAAAGAAAATCTAAAAACCCCTTCACTGATAAACCCTCTTCCAACCTAAGACATTGTCTGCTCTCTCCAAAGCATCAATGACTCTCTTCCATTGCCATGTTCCTCATCAGAGCATGGCCCCATTCTCACCCATCTCAACTTTCTCTTTCAAACCACTATGCGTTTCTCTATCTCAACCTTCCTCCTCTTCCTCCATAAGCCATCAACATCCTTATCCTCTCTTCACAACCACAGACCTCCTCAACAATAGGCCTTTTTCACTCTCCACAATGCCCAGAAAGTTGCTGTGTACACCACCCCAAGGAAAATATATACAAGATGCCTATCTTGTGGTATGCCACATCTAACACCTCAATTTTTATTATTGTATTTTCGGGTCTGTGTTTTTTTTTTTTTTTTGCTCTTTAGGTTCCTATGTAAAAACTTCTGAATATTCATGGGTCATAGTCGTTTTTTTCTAGCTTTCAACTATAAACAATTTTTTTTTTTTTTTGTTACAATTATGGGTTATTTATTCATTTTCTTTATTTCCTCTTAGCCTCTGTGGTATATATATATGAGTTCTAGATAAGGGAAAAAGAAGAAGAATGTAGCAACCATCTTCTGATATTGAAGAGAAAGAAGTGAAACAAGGGAGATTGCTGATAGGAAGTAAGAAATTTGGGAGAAGAATCAGTGAAGATTAGGGGAAGTGAGAGAAAGATTTCTTGATAATTCTTTTGATTTCTTTCTCATTGCTGCTATCCCCTATCTAACACAAAGTAGTTACACTAGAATTACTAGAATTACTGACAAGTGACAACACTAGAGAAATCATTAAGGAAATACTGAAATGAAAACATGAGAATATTCTAGAACATATATAGGCTAGTAATGGTTGTTTCTTTGCTTCCGATCACATGGGTTTCTACAAAGAAGGAATTTTTTATATTTTTCATTGATTTATTTAAAATCGGTGCTGTAGTAATGCCATTGTTTGTTATTTTGGATTTGCAGAAAAAATTGTCAGCTCAGGAAATCCAAGATCTGGTTAAGGGAGAACGAAATGTACCTCTTGTTATTGATTTCTATGCAACATGGTGTGGACCATGCATCTTAATGGCTCAAGAACTTGAAATGGTATGTGGTTTAATTGATGTAGAAAATGCTTTATGTTTTAATTCTACCTTTACTTATAGCAGCCTCAGAGAAAGTAGACAGCGTAAAAGATGACCATTGTGAGTCTGTGACTATGTATAAGATGACCGTTGTGAGTCTTTAATCATTTTGTAAATTATGTGTTGTGAGATATATTAAATTTCATTAACCAAAAAATAGACTAAATTCCTTAGATTATTTTACAAAGTTTTGTTTTCTTGATGTGAATCTGATACCAATGAAGTTCTGCCTTATTCCCACACAAATCTTGATTTGGAAGATCTGATTTGTGCGAGTTTCGTGCAGAGATTCACCTCATCTCCATATAATTTTTTATACTGGTTGAGAAACAGCTCTTTGTAAATATGTAAGGGTAAGGCTACGTAGAAGGATTTCCCTCACCCTACCCTCACTTGTTGGGGTTTGATGGGGAGTGAGTTTCTTTTACTGCATTTTCATTCCATCATCATTCAAGGATGAAATTATTTTAATAAACTTAGAACAATACTTATGTTGTGCTACCAGTAGATTGATATTTTGTTTTTGATACTTCTACTTTTATTATTTGATCGGGCTATATATGATGTTTTAACTTTTAATCACTTCTAAACATGATATTTCATATTTTTCGCCTCACATAAACACATTGATAATAGATGCAGAAATTTCAGAATTTGTGTTTGGTTAGGGCTGATCAATAACAAAATATGGTGTATCTATTGCAAGAGTGATGTTCTCGGGTTAGATGTTTTCATTAATAATGTTAGGTCGTTGTCATGATGTTTATCAATTCTCTATGTGGATGAGGCCATGGTTAGCTAGCTCGTGTTCCAAATTATATTTAAGTTATTCTTGATACAAGGTTAAAAATTGAAATGACAGTGAGAGGTTTTGATCTTCACTTGTAGAAGCATGAGATGATTGAAAATTTATTTTCTTGGACTTTTGATATGTTATTTTATCTCATTTTTATTCCAATATGGGATGGAAAATCTCCAAGGATAAGAAGCAAGTTGTGGCTCCTATTGATGTGATTCTGATTCCCAGTGATGTGAATCTTTGCACGGAACTCGTGCCGATCCCGATTCTAAATATCTGATTCTTGTAGGTTTTGTGTAAGGATTCACATCACCTATATTATTATTATTATTATTATTATTATTATTATTATATATTTTTTGAAGTCGTTTCTTCTCTTCCACTAGAACTCATTGTTTTGGGTGGGGGGCTGAAGAGATATTGATGCTGTAAATAGTATAGTACACGAGGGAGCTCGAGTTGATTCATTTATAAGAGGCAAGTATCTAAGGTTAGTGAAAATTAATAAAATAAATTAGAACAACTTCGTAAGTATATTTTTGATAGAGAAAGAAAAAGGATCCAATTCGAGCAAGGTTTCCAAAAAAATCAATTTACTTCTCGGAGGAATTGTTTTCATTGCATCATTATTTGTCTCTTAGTGTGCAAGGATGAAGTCATGAAACTAACTTCAAAATATAGTTTACAAAAAAATGATTATTTGTGGGAAAAGTGGAAAACTACGTAACTTAAAACTTTACATATGCTACGCTTACATGTAGATTAATATTTTAAAAAATAATTTTTTCCTTTGATACTTTAACCATGTGATCGGGCTATATATGATATTTTCATCCCTTCTAAACAATTTTTAATATTTTTTTGGCTCACGTGAATGCATTGATGATTGATGCGGGAATTTTGGTTGCATGCAAAAGCAGCAAAATGTGCTTATATATAGAACTTGTGCCATAGTCTGAATTTAGGGATTTTGAGGGTGATCTCAAAAGTTACTCGATAGATCCAGGCATATTATTGAATACTATTTAAAGGAGCTTGAGCTTCTATGGTTGTTTTTTCTTTTTTTATGATTATGAATCATTCAATGTGTCTGAAATTACATCGTAACTGTTATGCTTGCCACTTTACAGTTGCAATTGCATTGTAATTTTTATGCATACCCCTTTGGAGTTTTAATGGCTATGAAACCGTTTGAATGAATCATATACATTGAAGATCTTGAAATTTAGATCTGAGGAGACTAGAGCTGGTTTCTCTCCATCTGATGCAGTATGGTCAATAATTTTTTTTTAAATTTTATACTTATATGATGTGCGTAACTTTACGATAATATATGGACCTAGAAATAATTACAAAGGGTAGATGTAGTATCATTTTCTTGCTGGACCTAAAAATTAGGGCTGCTTGCATTGAAATTTTAATATGTAAGCAATATCACATGTTGTTTTAGAAGATTTGGTCAAACATAGGGAAGGAGGCGGTAAAGAAGTGATAAAGAGAAGGAAGGCTTTAGTCATTTGTCATTTAATGAGGGATGAGGTGAGGCTCCACAAATATTTTACAATTTTGCAACCAGTTCAAAAAAATGTGGTTTTACATATGTTCTACTGAATTTCTTATATGTTAGCTTTTACTTGTATAGTTTTTATTATCTTATATTTAATGTTTTATTTTACTTCCCTCATTATAAGATATACATTTGAAGAACTGAACTCAAGGGAAAAATTGTATTCCGATTATCATGTTGGTGCATTTTGTTGGTTGCAATAACTCATCTTCTTTAAGAATGTAAATCTCTCATGAATAGTACAACCAATTTAAGTATATGGGGATCTTGAATTTGTTCTATAACTGTTTGCTTTACTTCCCCTGAGAACTACCAATTTGCATACTTTGTCTTAATTTCTCAATTTGTGAGGATAGCATGTTTTAATTGTTAGTATAGTTCCTAATCCAACAGAATTTCCCTCAATGTTTGTCGGAGGTGAGTAGTTGATTTGAAAGCTCAGAAGTAACCTTTCCATATTTAAAATTGTACAGCTTGCAGTTGAGTACGAGAACAATGTTACGATTGTTAAGGTTGATACAGATTACGAGTATGAATTTGCACGCGACATGCAGGTAATAAGCCTTTTTTGCTTTCAATGTGTACATTTACAAACACTCTGTAGGGATCCATAAAAAATCATGTGAAGTTTTACTAAAATGACTTCTGAACTTGCATGATTTTCTCAAGAAACATAAATAAAAAAGCAATATATCATGGGAGCTAAGCAATTCGGGGTAACCTTCTGCATACTAATCCTGTTATTTATTCAAGATAATAACCATCTTAAATGATTAGATCTTGTATTCTTCCTTGTTTTTGTTGTATACATGTGTTGGTATTTTATTGATTGTTGCTTCAACTCTTCAAGTTTAGATTAAACCCTTAAGGGGACTATTAGTAACAGATCTAGACACTGGCAGATCAGTTCATTGCTATGCTTTTCATTTGGAATTTGGATATGGCAGCTTCTAAATAACACTTGAATTTCAATGTATTCCAGGTTCGTGGGTTGCCCACAGTGTTCTTTATTAGTCCTGATCCAAACAAAGATGCAATTCGAACTGAAGGACTTATCCCAATACAGATGATGAGGGATATCATAGACAAGGAAATGTGAATCTGTAATGGGCATTGATCACCTAACATTGTTGGAGTTCCTGGATCTTGCACTATGTTGTCTGGTGTAATGGTAGCCTATCCGGGACAGAATTGAAGTGCTAACCAATTCCTATGATTTTGGGTTTTTAAGGTTATAAAATTGTATGATAATTTATGCAAGCTTTCAGCTGACATATTATGTAGTGTATCACATGTGATGTCAAATTTAGAAGGACGTTGTAACACTATCATTTATGTACACTCCATTCATCAAATATAAAATGTTATTGAAAGAGTCAATCTTTGTTAGTTAGGTGGTGAGTTGAGCTTATATGCTTAAGATTTCTTGTCATGTCACCTTACTAGGAAGATCTTGGGGTGCAATTGAAAGTTAAATGTTTAGTTCTAAGATCTTAGGAAAATAAAATAAAACAAAAATAGGAGACAAAGAAACGGGTTTCACCCAGAAGGAAACTGACATGTTATTTCTTTCTAAGTGTTGTTCATTAGTTGTCGGATTTGAAGGGTTCATTAAGGTAACTTCGTTGTTGTAGATACAGTAGGGTCAAGCAGTCTCCACTATTCAAATATTCAACATTCAAAGCTGGCGAGTTATTCAAGGACCACAACCAGTGGGGGTTTAAATTCTATTAGAGGACTTCACTGTACCCTTTGGAAATTTCGTAAGAAAGATCTGTCATTTATTCGTTACAATTTAAATAAAGTTTGTAAAATGAGAAAGTGAAAATTATCACTTTGATTAAAGGAATAGTTGAGATTTTTCACAAGATCATATGAGATTTCTATATGTATAAAAATTATTGATGTAATCTTATCTAATAGTTTACATTGTTAGGTGAAATAATTGTTTATTATGGTATCAGTCTCCATGATCATGTGGTTATAAGTTTAATTCTTATCGCACCCTTTTTAATAGAATTAATTTACCACAAGAAAGTTAGGTTTGATGCATTATTTATCCTTCGAGCCTAATAATCTCGTGTGAAGGGATGTATTAGAAATATAAAATTATTAATATAATCTTATTCAATGGTTTGAGTTTTTAGATGAGATGGTTGCATCCATTCTCATTAGAAAGTATACAAAGCTGGTGGAATATTGGCTGCTGTTGACTAAACAACATTAAGTGGGTTAGAAAGTGATGTCACACTTAATGAATATTGGACATCAATTACAAATAAATGCCCAAAAACTTAGAAAGTGATGTCACTGGTTCTCTAAATGAGATTAACCTCATAACTGTGTTTTGGTTTAGGAGTTCAGTAACAAGATTTAGCTAAACAAACATAATGGTTCTTGTTTCTTTTAATGAGAGAAGTGATGAGTGATTGTTTGTCTAACAATGTTTATTGTTTTTTAGGCCTACTGCATAGTATTATAGTTATCATATTTATGGATAAGCAATTGTATTAACAACCTTTAAATTTTGCATTTTTTAAAATACATTTATCTAGCACCATTTTCCCCAAGTGATGAGATAAACAAACATAATGGTTCTTGTTTCTTTTAATGAGAGAAGTGATGAGTGATTGTTTGTCTAACAATGTTTATTGTTTTTTAGGCCTACTGCATAGTATTATAGTTATCATATTTATGGATAAGCAATTGTATTAACAACCTTTAAATTTTGCATTTTTTAAAATACATTTATCTAGCACCATTTTCCCCAAGTACTCTCCTTGTGATTTATTTATTAGACAAATAAATCCTTCTGTTTTGCTTTGTAACCAAATTGAATGCCAAAGTTGTGACAACAGCAATCCCCCCCCCCCCCCCCCCCCTTCTCTTCTTTTTGTATGTTTTAAGCTTATCTGCTATCCAATCCAAAACAACATACACATCAAGAATATCAAAATAATAAATACCTACAATTCAATACAAAAAAAAAAAAAAAAAAACCAACAATAACAACAAATCCCACAATTCTATTTTTAATAAATTGTTATTAACACCTTCAATTATTCTATTTTGTAATCACACTCTAACAGGCTTGATTCAGCTATTCAAGTCAGTTTTTTTGGGAGTACTAGATCACACGCTTAAATTTTATTTGATTTTAGTTTACCTTTTCTTTCCCTGCACTAGATCTTAGACTACTTTGTAACCTAAAAATATTTATATTCCAACGATTTCAATTGAAAATAAGTTAGACGTCTAATAATTTTAAAACAAAAATAGATAGAGCATATTCATATGAAAAAGCTTCCGGTATATCCTGAATAAAATACAAAATCTTATAAATGTATATGAAATAAGATAAATCCAATTATCCTTAGATGGTAAATGTATATTGAAATGTGAGGTGATACGTGTGTAAATGTGAATGAATAATTAGCTGTATTTATTACATAACAATTTGTATTTGATCAGTCCAACAACTATTGGGCTGGATCACACACGGTTGAGGTAAAAGATGTTGCTGAAGAGGAAAACGTTGTCGAGATGATGGATCATTGGCGAGATGGTCTGGGTGCTCTTGCAAGATGAATGAGTTGGTTGAGCTGATGTGTGGGCAATTTGAGGAGACTGAGAGTGTACTTGCAAGACACTCTAACACTCAAATCAGTTCAATATTCAAGTAGTTCAAGTATTCAAGGATAGATGATCTTACCTGGGTTGAATGTCTTTGTATTTATAGTAGAGTGATGCCTTGCTTATACCACCTTTGCATGACAGTGTTCATTCCTATTAGTGGAAAGTGGTGGCCTTTTCACAGTTTATATTGCAGGCGAGATGCCTATAGTTAGGCTAGCCCTTGCAGAGGTTGTCGTGAACTAATGTTGTCATTATATCATTGGTTTCGTATGGTGGTCAAGTGGCTCTGAGCAATTGATCACACTAGGTTCCATTTTCATGTGCAGCTTGATAAGTGATTGCCAGCTGAGGAGGTGAGATGTGTGTTGCTTCTACACGAGATGTACAAGTATTCTTCAAGGTTAAGTCATGACTTTTGGGCCGTTTAAGCCTTTCTTGGACTGGACCATCATCTCGTAGGTATAAGGTCCAGATCAGAAACCCCCTAGCTCGTTGCTTATGCTAAAAGTATGAGTAACGAGATGTATAAGCTTTATGCGAGATGTTCCTTCATGTGAGATTGTATGTAGTGATAGATTTGTTGCTTTAGTGTTAAAGTTCTTGAATATATTTTTTGTCTTAAGGTTTGCGCCTTAGGGTGGAATTCAACTCTTCATTTTTGGAGTTTCAATTCTTCACAACATTAGTTCTTGTACTCAAACATGTTTCTACTAGTTATATATATAAGTAAGGCATACCTTTTGTTTTCAAGTACTTTGTGATGCGAGATGATTTCTCTTGCACTTTTATTATTTTTGCGAGATACTTTACTTTTTTAGTTGTATGTTCAATCTTCCACACTTACATGCTTAAGGTTCATACCTTAGGTACTAATCTAGAGTACAGGCCCTAGATTAACGTTCAATTCTTCACTTCTCTATAGGGTTCTGCTCTAAGTTCATTTTTTTTGCGGTATGTGGGTAATCTTCAATTTTTGATGTAGGTACCCTGCAAATTACGTGACATACAATCTCGTAAGAAATATGATTAAAGTTTTGATTCAAATATTTATGAAAAGTCATAATAACATCTGTTAATATTTTATCTCGCTCCTTTCACAATGTAAAATTCAAAGAGTGATTTAATATATGATGGTAGGTCATATTTTCAAGCTTGTTAATCAATTGAAAGTATCAATGAACTTGACGAAGTACATATAAATTTTTGTTTTCATGAAATAAGTTGCATTTGCAATGTCGCATGAGCATATAATCGTAAAAAATATATTTGATATGATAAACTTCATTTTGCCAACTGGTATCATCATTTATGCACGCAGACATTTCTAAATTGGATCTTCGCTAGTGTTAGTCGGTATCATCATTTATGCAAGCAAATATTTCTGAATTGGATCATCACGAGACTTTTGGTAATCCTTCAGGTTTATGAATTTTTCTAATCTCGCGCATAGCTCCTCTATGGTCTTTGGTCTTTGTTTTGCTAAAGATGTGAAAAATGGTACCTCTTGCAAACTGTAAGTGATGAGATGTAAGGAGACTCGAGGGTCTAGATCTTTCACTGAAAGGGCTTCATCAAAAAATATATTCAAGTAATCTTGCAATGATTCGCAAGCCCCTTATTTGATTGTTTTCGAGGCATTAGTTGATTTATACTATGTCTTGTTGGTAGCAAATCTCACCAAGAATTGATTGACGAGATCATCTAAATTGTTCATGGAGTTGGGTGGTATGGTAGAATACCACCTTAAGGCCACTTCCTTCAAAGTGATGTGGAATAAACGACAGCTCACAACATCAAGCATATCTTATGCCAACATGTTTGTCTGAAATTGCTCCAGGTGTTCTTGTGGATCACCTTTACAGTTATATTTTTCTGTGGTGATCTTAACATCTTTTGGAACGGGAAGATCCATGATTTGAGAAGTAAAAGGATGGGCTACTTTTGAGGTTGTTTTGGATTTTGATGGGACTTTTGATCCATATGATGGTTAGCGACATGGCTAACATTAAGTTGATGGTTGTTAGTTTGCTTTTGCTTTTCACATTTTTGAGAGGGTTGTTTTTGTGATTGCTCTAGTTTTTCATCATCTCGTTGATCATTTTCATATAATTTTTCTTTCATATTCGAGTGTTTTTAAAATCAATTTTTAGCCTTTTTAGCTCTAGAGTTTCTTTTGTTGTTCCTCAAGCCTCCGGCCTCATTGCATGAGAAGCTCAAGGATTTGTTGATTTGTGGTAGCAAGTTGCTAATATAATGGTGGGTTATTCTGCTGAGGTGGTGTTAGAGAAATAGATGAGGTTGTTCTCCTCTGGGATGTTTGGCCTCTTTGGGTTTTGTTTTTGGATCTGTTATGTGACTTTGTCATTTTGCTCATGGTATCAACCGTGCTTTTGATTTGTTTAGAGTGAGAGTCAAAATTTATCGTCTTCACAGATAATGCTAATGATCAGTCCAACAATTGTTGAGATGGATCACACACGACTGAGGTAAAGGATATTTATGAAGATGAAGACATTGCTGAGATGATGGATCGTTGGTGAGATGAACTGGGTGATTTTATGAGATGAATGCGCTGGTTGAGCTGATATTTTCCTAGTTTGAGGAGACTAGGGGGTGTACTTGCAAGGCACTCCAACGCTCAAGTCAGTTTAATATTCAAGTAGTTAAAGTATTCAAGGATAAATGATCTTACATGGGTTAAATGCCTCTGTATTTATAGTGGAGGGATGTCTTGCT